TGTCTTGTCACCTTTGTGAAGGCCAAAATGAATCTAGTGAAATGAAGTAACCTGCTGTGACAGAACCACCCCATCTTATTATATAGGTTTATCTTTAAGTCTGTGGAATGGTTACTTTGGGAGATGCAATTCTGAAGAGGAGGAGCCATTCTGTGTTGGCAATAGGGTTTCCTACTTCCATTGTGAAGACGAAAAACATGTCTGTGCATAAGGTTATAATGAATCAGGACTCTTGTGACTTCATGGTTTTGTTTTTTTTTTTTTTACTTCTACTTTTATCTTTGAAGGAAACACATCTTTTCTGCTTTATTTTAAAGCTTTTCTTTCATGTTCTGCAGTTTGAAAAGTAATGTGTGTTTTTCATTAGGTAGTAGACAACTGTGTTTGCAAATTGGATTTTTTTTCCCTCATCTGTTACAACTTTACTTTCATAAACCCCATGTTTAGCAGTTGTGGATTGATGAAGTATTTACATATTAATTCAATTATGCCTATACTTACTTGATTGTCCTTATTTTAAATATATTCTTTATTTATACCCTTCTTTGGGGATTTTGAAGTTGGCAGTTCCCTGAAGTTTTTCAGCTTGACCCCTTCCAGTATGTCAGTAAACTTAAGATATTTACGCAAGCTGAAAGCAGTGGTACTGGTTTCCATTCACTGCTGCTCTAAATGTAAAGATATAAGAGAGTTATTATGGTTTTGTAGTCTTAGTTTACCACAACAATATTAGAAAAATAAATTGATTTTCTTCTCCTCCATGTTCTGGGTAAGAAAACAGTGGCATGTGGAGGTTAATTCAGCAAAACACAAAAAAGAGAAGAGCAGAGTGTGTTTGGAGAGTCTAGGTTAAAATATTTTTAAGAGATTTCTTGGATATGGATTCTTTCTTTGTGGCTTACAAGTTTGAAAAGTGCTGTAAAAGTCAGACCTTAATATTCAAAGAATGTTCTGCCGTGCTTTTCTCGACAAGAAATAGGTGCACCCATGGGTACTGGGGGTGGGGAGACAGTGACTTGCCTTTTTTTTTTTGTTTCGTGGATCAAGGAACTCTCCAAACTCTGAGATTGCAGAGGGGATTGTAAACTGATCATCTTCCCCTCAGGCACCTCGTGCTAATTAATGCTTTGTTTAGGCAGGATCGGGCAATGGTATTTGAAGACTTTTTGATGTTTGTTTTCCACCCCAAGCATCTCTCCATACACAGTCCTTACCAGGTGAGCAGCCCTCACCGGGTGAGCTGTAACTCACCACGGAGCTGGCAGGATTCAGAGATCCCCCTTCTGTTCCAGGCAGACAGTGTGCTCTCCACTGCTGTGTCTGCCCCAGGAGGGACAGGTAGTAATGAGCTGCTCTCCCAGGGACATCCAGTGGTCAAGCTGCTGTGGATCTAAATCCTCACCCTGTTCTTCAGGGTGTGATGCAGAGGTGGCGCAGAAGCAAGATGAGTCAGGCACAAAACATGGGAAATCTTACATGGGCTCTTCTTCCCAGTGCTCCCACTGGCACCCATCTAACCAGAGGAGGGGAGACAACCAGGCAAATAGTGCCTGAAAAGGCCAGCGCCAAGGTGAATTGAATGACTAATTGCTGAAGAGTGAGTTTTATTTATTAAGTCCTGATGCCACATTTCCTGGTTTGTGTGCACTGGGCTGTAGTTATAACTATGTCTCATGGGATTAAGAGATTGAATTCCATGTACTTGTGATTTTCTTCTTCTTTGATTTGGGACAAATATGTATTGGGTCATCTTGGTGCAGCAGGAGGAGACTTTGTTTTTAACCTGCTTTTATTCCATTTTTCTTTATCTGTCTTATTGGTTTACAGCTCAATGTTTACTTCTTCCACACAGATTTGTCCTAGAGATTTAGTTAACATGGGCAATTTGCAGCTCAGTTTGTTTTAAACTTCTGTTGAGATACACTGGGTGGATGAGGTAAATCTCCGGGCACCACACATCTGGCTTACACAGGCAGTGAAACACACAGAGTGAAACTTCAGGAAATTAAAATATAAACTTCCCTGCCCCTTTTCCTTCAGGGGCAGGAGAGGGGAATGGGGTCTGCTTGCTTGCATATGCCTTTGTGGTATGTTAACACTTTGAGTACTGAGAGATAGAGTGCAGTTCTCTCCTGCTTGAGCCTTTCCAATCAGCATCACAGCTAAATGTGATGCCTTGGGATTTTTATGTTTGTGACCTGGGAGGTCAAAACCTTCCTTTAAGTGGCATCCGAGAAAGCTGATCATCTGGAAGTCCCCTGCTGGAATTTTTGCCAGCAAACTGTCTCATCTTCTTCTCTTCTTTCCCTTGGGAAGGTGGGTGGGGTGTGCAGGGCATGAAAAGATTACTTTTACAGGAGGTCCCAGGTTTTAGATTAGAATACCTTAGAAACAAAACTTCTCCAAAATTCCTTACATGAACACAGCATTTTGGTTTTCTGCCTTCAAAATGAGAGAAGTAGCAAGTGAGCCTCATGCTAGCTTCTCCGAGATTGCTCAAGTGCTGTCATAGTTTTAAATTGAACAAGTCTGGCTCTGTAGCATTTTACATACCCTTATGTCTGTACGTACATTCCACCTTGCCATTTCATGATTAAGTCATATTTTTTGTCATATTTTGTTTCAGATTTCAAACTAAAAGGTTGGGGAGAGCATTGCACAATCAGGGAATAATTCACATTTTAAGCCCATGTGCAAAACAAAAAAGGAAAAAAGAAGGAAAAAGAAAGTAAAAGCATAATACCAGCCACATTTTAAACTTCTGAATTAAAAATACATGTTTTTTCAGGTGTAGCAGGCCTCTTTCCATAGGAGCAACAGAGGAGCAGTAATCATTCATTACATGTGGGCAGCAGACATCTGAAAGAAAAAAACAGTGACAAATACACAGGCAAAGAGAATTTATTCAAGATCACAAGTGTCAACTAGGTCCTGAATCCAGATATTCCTACAGAGACTAAAAATCCTGTGCATTACATAATTAATGCAGATGTTGGCAAGCTTTTATAAGAGCCACTAATTCATGCATATGACTTCCTCTCTCCCTCAAGGGTTCTTATACTTGACCTGTTATTACCACAAGGTCTTTAACCAAAAAATTAAAGCCAGATGTCTTGTAGCTAGGTCTCCCTTTGTTAAACACCCCTTATAATAATTTTTTTTTATATGCAACTGATCCTACATGAGAACTTCCAAAATTTCTTAAATAATTAAGGCTAAAAGGCTTCAAACCCAAGGGTTGATGTATCCTAGAGGAGCAATAAAAGCATTATACTCACTGGGCTTAGAATACTATTTATTCTAGCTTTTTTATTATCCTGGGACTGCAAATGTTTCTGGTCAATGTCTAGGCTGGAGGTAAAATCTTTCTTAAAAGACCTTTTTCTTTAACATAAATTTAAATGTCATGTAGTCCATTTGGGATATAGATGGAAAGTTTTGTATATTGCATTATTGGAATTGGCTTAATTGCATTGACAAATGTAGACATGAAAAGAAACAGAAACAGTTTTGGGTAATTCTAAGGAGATCTTTATCAGATACTATTTTCACTTGAGTCAAGTTATGAATTCAGTTTCCCAATTCTGTATGTTTTTGTTTTCCACAAGAAGGTTAGGTTAGCTGTAGCACTTCCTGCAGAGTAACTGGAGCTGTCCAAAATCTATGGTTAACTTTGTATGTTTTAATGGGAAGAAATTACCGCCTTTTAGTGTTGTTGATCTGTTCCTTGATTGGGCTTCTTACCTGAATTGCCAAAACTGGTCCTGCTTTTGTAAAAATTCAAGTTTAGGTGATAGCATTCCAGAACAATAAAAACAGAGAGGAAAAGGAAGATCTTATATAGAAAGAGACTTTTTGACATGTGTTTATTGGTTTGATTTTTTTTTTAATTATTATTTTTATATCTTTGTTGTTTACCCATGCTAAACAAGGAACCAGGATGTTATTCAGAGGGGTTTCTTTTCTTAAGGTTTGCCTTTTGGGAATTGCACCTTGAGTAATTGCATGGAACTTAAAAAGGAAACTCATTAGGCATTTTCTTATAAGCCAACAGTTGTATCCAAAACTTCCACATTCTAGTGGAATATGGGCTGGTTTTTTGCCCCCCTAGCTGTTCTCGGCGAAGTACTCTGCAAAAGAAAATAGTCATGTGTTCTCTGGCATAGCCACAACAATAGTTAATGCAGGAAATAAGGTTGGATGCTTTTAACACTAGTTAAGCCAAATATTGCTTTTCTTATTTCTTGGCTCACTCCTATTTCAAATTGGAATAAGTCAGTTCTGATGAGTTACGTTTAAAAGCATTGTGTATTTCAAACCATTTCTAGAAATGTGGCTGGTGCTCATAGAAATGCTATGTCATGCTTCCTTTATTGTTCATAAAAGCACGCACTTTTTATGGACATATGTTATCCTTTGTAATTCATGGTCTCAGAACATATTGACAATCTTTATTTAGGGTGTTCTTCCCACATTTTAAGACAGGACAAGAAGGAATACCCATGACGGAAAATGGAATAAGTTAAAACCTACTTGGAAATGTAACAAACATTTCCTCCTCTTTGATGAACTATTCTTCCGCTACAGTCAAACAACAGTTCTGTGCACTAATAACATAAATAATGTGTCTAGCAGAGTTAATTTTTCTTAATTATGAATTGCATGCCTTTAACTGAATCTCTCAGCAGATCTGCTTGGCCAGAAGCTTGTTTTCTATGCAATTTACAACTACATCAGAAATCATGCTGGCTCCAAGAGCAGATGGAGCCATTTCTGGTGGTTTCTAATCTGGTTGCTGTTACTAGATTCCTCAAAGCAATTGTTTGTGAGTTCTGGAATGCCATTTGGTCTGAAACAATAAATTTGTTCTGAAGTGTGTTCCTTTCCGTCCCCCTCCCCGCTCTTTGTCTATGTCTTAGCCATGAAGGCAATCATATGTTTTCAGTTCTGATGTCATTCTGGGTTTTTTTCTCTCTCTTTTTTTTTCTCTCTTCTTTCAGTCTACAGCCATGAGTGAACCACAGTGCTACTACAATGAAACCATTGCCTTCTTTTATAACCGAAGTGGAAAATATCTAGCCACTGAATGGAACACTGTCAGCAAGCTTGTAATGGGACTGGGGATTACCGTCTGCATCTTCATAATGCTCGCCAACCTCTTGGTTATGGTGGCTATTTATGTGAATCGCCGATTCCACTTTCCTATTTATTACTTAATGGCCAACTTAGCTGCTGCGGACTTTTTTGCAGGGCTGGCCTACTTTTACTTAATGTTCAACACAGGACCCAACACTAGAAGACTGACTGTAAGCACCTGGCTTCTCCGTCAGGGTCTCATTGATACCAGTCTGACAGCCTCTGTAGCCAATTTGTTGGCCATTGCTATTGAGCGGCACATTACAGTTTTCCGAATGCAGCTGCACACTCGGATGAGCAACCGCCGAGTGGTCGTTGTCATTGTTGTTATCTGGACTATGGCCATCGTCATGGGTGCCATACCAAGTGTCGGATGGAACTGTATTTGTGATATCACCCACTGCTCCAACATGGCACCGCTCTATAGTGACTCCTACCTGGTCTTCTGGGCTATTTTCAACCTGGTCACTTTTGTGGTCATGGTGGTCCTATACGCTCACATCTTTGGGTATGTTCGCCAAAGGACTATGAGAATGTCCAGACACAGTTCTGGACCCCGCAGGAATCGGGACACCATGATGAGCCTCCTGAAGACTGTGGTCATTGTGCTTGGTAAGTGCTTACTTTGCCCACCCTGTTCTTCCTGCTCTGTTTCTTATCAGGTGATTTCAGTAATGCGTGGTCAGCTCCTGGGGGTCAGCAGAATGTGGAAGACACTGGAGCAGGTGCAGACAATAAGAGCACACAGAGTTCACCACTGGGTGCTCTAAGAAGACCACTGGGATTATCAGGCTTATTTATGGAAGTTGATGTGACATGGTCACTTAGCCCTGTAACATGAAACCAGTGAAAATCCAGATGTAATGTGGTGGTTTTTTGCAGCAACACGTGTTTAAAATCTTTTGTAGCAACCTATTATATAATGTTTGTCTTTTTGCCTTTGAAGATGCCAAATGGCTTCAAACTTAAAATAGTACAGGGAAGGCTCGGTGTTCCACTGAAATATCTGTTGTCTCCTTTTTGTCACCTGAAAGGTGTTGTGTTAATGTGAAATTCCATTATATGGAGAACAGTCACGAGCTACAGTCAGGCTGTTCACAAAAAGATTGTGTGTTAAGCAGGACTGCATGTACCCAGTCCTATAGTGTTTGGTGCATTTGCTAATACAGGAAAGTAGCATGTGAGATACTGATGTGCTTCAGCACACTGCTCAGGAGGTGCATAGGCTTCAGTGCTTAGCATGAGGGAAATACCATAACACGTTTTGGATTCAGGAGGTTATTGTAATTTTGTGAATAGTTTTACTTGGGTTTTGTCTGGGATTCCCAGTTTCCTTATGCAGCACAGTCTAAAGGCTGAGTACCATTCCCTGTTGATCTTCTTTGCTGTTTTTCTGTTCTTTGTTCCTGCAGATGATAGTGAGCTGAAGGCAGCAAGGATGGTACAGGTTGTCTCCTTGTCCCAATATGTGTTCTCACCTATTAGGTCCTCCACTACAGTACATGGGTCTCCAGGTATCCCACTACCCTGTTGCATCAGATGGTTGCCCTAACAGTTCATAAATGCAATTGTTATGCAGTCCACAGAGCCCAAAACTTAGCCCCATTTCTCTCCTTGACATTATGGTTCCCATAGGTTTATGCTGTGACTTGAGCTTTCTATCACAAACGTGCCAGAATTGTAGCAGAGATTCAGTGTGAATCACTGTGTCAACTCACTTTTTAGTTTAAGAATTTACATGTTGTACTTTGACCTAGTGATTTGCATTTTGACCAGAATATGAATTGTGCAGTTAACTAACCTGTTAAACCATTGATAAGATGTATTCCTCCATGTCCTGCTCTTGTCTTCAGGGAAAGCATTTATATGAGATTTCCAAGGGAGACTCTAGTGATTGGTGAAACCTCTCCTGGTGCTTCAAAAATCGGTCCTTTCCAATCTCCATGATTGTCATGGCAGAAGGCAAGATGAAGTTAAGAATACCAAGAAAATTTGGGTTTTGCAGTCCTCTTTTAGGAAACAGTTCTCTGTTTTCCTTCCTGAAGACATTATTGTTCATACAGTATTTCCAATGAGGTGAAAGACTGGCTCAGACTTCACAAAAAAAAAAAAAAAAAAAAAAAAAAAAAAAAAAAAAAAAAAGACCTCAAAAACAGCTACTAAAAAAAGTGGATGGAAAATAGTAGGCACTTCTACCAGTGCAATGTGGAGTTGTAGCAATAAACAGTCACTGAATAAATAGCAAATGTCAGCTAATCCCAAGCATGTATGGTTCTAGAGGTATGTGTATGCAGCAGGAAGGATCAGTCTCCTGTGAAAGAGGTCAGAGGGAAGATATACAGGCCACTCACTGTGGCCACAACAGTAGTGGTGTACAAAGAATGTAAAGTGACCCCTTTCTTTTCCCTAATAAATATATTTCTTTCAGGTATTATTCTAGAAAGAGTGAAACAACTCCAGGGGTTAAGGGGCATTAGCTAAACTGGAGGTGAATTCAGTTTAGCTGCAGATGTAGTTCAGTAATACCTCTGATTCCTCATAAAGGTGAGATTTTTCAGGACTGCAAGTGGCACATGTTGAAGCTTTCTATAAAATTCAAACAGGATCTTATTTCTTGTTACTGCTGCACTTCATTCAGTGCTTTGCACACATTGTACTTAAGTATCGCTTCTAATCTGCATAAAATACCATTTACAGAAAACAATAACTTATTATTTTATTAAATCTGTTCAAAGGCAACAAAAGCGCTCGTAGGTTGTGACATTCTTTATCATTTTTGCAGCTCCCACCTTGGTATTATTTTGCAAAGGGTTTGGGTTTTTGGTTCAGTTTGGTTTTTTCCCTAAGCAGTTTGGTTTCTAGAGGAAAGCTAGCGGAGGTCAGTCGTAGGCCTGTAGTGTAAAGAAGTAGCAGTGCTTTCACCTCCTTACCACCTGGGAGGCACAGTTGCAAGATAAAGATAGTTGGGAAACAGTTGTGGGTTTGTTGTGTAAATTCTTTTAATTTAAGAAATAAATAAAGAAAGAAGAGACTGAAGTAAAGAATTAGGCTTTGGGGTAATTGCAGACACATTGGGGGAGTTAAATATTTGTGCATCAAGGTGTTACCAGACTGCTACGTACACCATGAGAAATTTTCATTAATTGTCATCAGCTGGGGAGTATCATCCCATATTGCTGAATTTGCACTTCAGGGGAGGATTTTTTTGTGGTTCTAAAGAAGAAAAGCTAAGCATCACTTCAAAGCACTTCTGGGCAACAGATATCTCAGATATCAGCAGGTATCTCTCAAGCAAAGAGTGTGGTCAGCATGTTGATCAGGCAGGTGTGGTGGTGCTCTATAACTGTTTGCAGTTTACTTGTAAGTCTGGCTTAAAGTTTTCTTAAGCAGAAGATTTAATTTCAAGGGTCATATCTCCTGAGTGCCTTCTTGAAAAGGTAGTGCTTCGAGTTTATCTACTGGAGCTTTGGGAAGGGCAGAAAAGGTGAGTGTGTCAGTATGCATGGAGCAATTTGCTGATCATTTATCTCGTGTTATCTGGCTTTTTCTACATCAGTGAACCTCAAAAACATGGAGAAGAACCCCTTTCTTAATGGTGCAGATCAGGGTAATACTACATTGGTCAATACATTGGTTTGAGACAGAAACAAACTTTTTTGCAGGAAGTGGAGCTGGGAAGGAGAGTAGTTTATTCTGAAGATGCCTCTCCCTCCTCTCCTTCCCCACAGCTGAGTGGGGAAGGGAGCTGGTTTGTGTCAGCCTGTTATACACAGAAGACAATTCATTTTGGAGGAGAGGGAGGGTGCCCTGGGATTGAAAGGAAAACAGAACTGAGGCTCTGGGTAAACCTGTGAGCATTGGCAGAGGGAGGCAACCATTCCTCATTTTAGAATCTTTGTTAAAATGCTGCTCAGCCGTAAGTAACTCCATTGTGAATTGGGCAGCAGTGAACTGTTCATTTGACTTTTAAACTTCCATAAACGGGTGTCCTGGAGTTGTCCTGCTGGCTGTACTCCCAGGCAAAGCCATGTTGCTGCTGCTGCAAGCAGAAGAGCATCTTTTCCCCTGTCTGCATTCTCGCTGTGTTTGGGGGCAGGAGGGGGAGGGAATAACACAAGAGCTTCTTGTTTGTTAGCTGCCTAACACGGCCTGCCCTCCTTCATGCCTTGCTGCCTTGCTCCAAGAGGAGAAGAGCTGCCCCAAAAGGGGTGCAGTCCTCCAGGCAGTGATGCTGTCAGCATGTGCAGGGAGGGTGCCAGCTGTCTCTTGACAAGAGGGTGATTGTGTGGGGAGGGCTATGGCTGCTTGACGCACTGACTGGAGCGGTCGGGATCTGGCACACTGCGTCATCCCACAGAGCGGGTGGGATGCTGAATCCTAGGAAAAAGTCAAAAGCAGAGAACAGATTTTTTTTTTTTTTTTATGCCCTCTTGTTTTTTTCCTTGAGTAAAATAGTTTAAACAGAAGGAAGTGATTTCATAGCTGAGCCCTTTTTTCTTTTAACAAGGCTGCTTTTGAAATCTTTCAAAAGTAACAAGGAACATAAAGCTCTCTCTCTAAACCATGCCTTTCCTTTGCATTGGAACTAAGGAAGAACTGATCTGTGTACTGCACATAGTCATAAAATCATGTCTGGTTTGGCTTGCAGCTCAGTGACACTTTGCCTTTCACCACCACCATGTGTTCCCTTTAAATGAGCAATCAGGGAATAGGCAGAAACTGAGCAGATACATCAGCTGAAACTTTGCATCCTCTCTTCTGTTCTCCACTTTTTCTCATGTTGCATTTAAAAACAAAGCTAAACTGTTTTTCTGCTGGGGATCATAGTTAGACTCTGAAAGCATTTGTCGGGCCAGTCGTAGGTTTGGCCCAAAAAAGGAAGACAATATCTAACTATTGTTTTAAGAAGTAGTGAAAGCACGAAATTAAGGATATCAGATTCGAGGCCTGGATAAACTAGCTCTGGCCTACATTTCCTTGGCCTGGAATCAGTTATGAAAGCTAGGGTTTTTCAGGTATTTTTAGGTGTATACCTGCATTTCTAGAGAAGTACTGGCTTAGAATGTTGCTGTTAGTTAGAAAGCCTATATTTCTCCTGCCTAAATGCTGATTAAGTATTCATCCTAATTTGTCACCTCTCGTTTTTACAGTGTGGATAACTCTGCCATATACCTCCATATGCATCTTTGGGCATTCCTCTCTATTTAGAATTTAGACTGTGAGATTGTGATACTGAGGGTTTATAACTGAATTTCAAATAAGCACGATACCAACAGCCCTCCTTATTTGTATTTTACTAATCCTGATGATTAGCCTTCTATGTTGGGTGAGTTCTCAGTGTTGTTGGGCCAAAATTAGGCATGCCTGTTGAGACAAGAACCACAGCTAGCCCCCAGGATGTAGGGAGACCAAACAATGAGTTCAGAATTGTTTACCATTTATGTTCCTGGGAAGTAAAAAGACACTTAGGACTTTCCTGCCTATAGAATCATCCACTTTGTTTGCAGGAATGTGGTTTACTCTGTAATATTGGGACACTAATGTGGGCACAGATAAAAAAGGTGAAGGTTCTTTTTGTATAAACTCTGAGTTTTTTATAAATTTTGATTTAA